CTTTCCCTCAAGTTCCTGATCTGGATAGAAAACCTAAAAAAATATCTGTGACAGGGTGGGACAATTTAAGCTTATCAAATGAAGAAGAAATACATGCTACTGGAGGGCGACTCAGTCATGAGGGGAACTAAATTTTTTTTGTGGGGGAAGATTTGTCTGAGAATGGGGAAGCATCAGGGGTCTGTCATACTTGCCATAAGAAGCATTTACTCATCTAAAAGAGAAGGTTTTTCTCAGTGCCCCTCCAAATTTTCCACCCAAAAAACACCCGGGAGAAAGGCCTTAAAAAGCAAAAAAGCCCCGCCACCAATTTTCCATTTTTTTGTTCTTCACATCTCTAATATTACCATGGTGTGTATGTCACCTCTGGGAAAGCCAGATGACTGAGTCTATACAGATTACTAAACCACGCCAGGGTGCCCTTACTCAGTCTGTGTAGCTTGGTTGTATGGACTCTGGACAATCCTGCTGAGTAAATCAGAAATCTCTGGAAGCTGGTGAACTCTAAAACTTCCCTCACATCTTAGCAGGATGACACACAGAAGCAGTTTACCAAATAGACACAAGCATACCATGCTAAGTTACCTCTCTATAAAATGACAATTTGTATCAATCTAGAACCTTCCACTCAGCACTAAATATGCCAAAGTCCCTAAAGTTTAGTCAGTTTGGCAGATCTTCTGAATCACTGGATTACTCAGCAGTTATAAAAAGTGTGTACTTCTGAAAGTACAACAGCCAATAAAGTTCCTTTATCATTAATGGAAGAAATGTGATCTTAAAAGTTCTTTGCATCCATTATAATTGACTAACTGCAAAATCCTCATTTATCAATCTTCACCACAAGAACCAATTTATCATTCTTGCACATGCTGTATTTATATTATTCAAGGCACAGCATTCATTTCCATAGTAACATAGAAGCAGGTCCCAAATATATAATTATGTTGTCATTGTGTGGTACAGCAAAAGAAGTGGATGAACACTTAATGAGGAAGCTTTTGTATAAACACACAAACAAAAATTACTGCTTTAACTCATCTTTTCCTCCTTCACATTCCAGGAAACACAATTATAATTTTGGCAGCCTCTGGATCAAACCCATGGTTACAAATTGGCATGTTTGAGTACAAGTAGTATGTTGTCGTCATGTAAAGACATCAAAAATTGGACATATTTCTTAATGAATTACTTTCCTATCTGTGGAATACTAGATAAAAAAGGCATCAGTAATCAAGATTATTGCTGCTTAAGCATCTTGAAATATGCCAAATTAGAAATGTGCTTTAGAGGTATTGCCTATCATTGATCAACAGCCTTTGTAACTTATCTTGGTTAACAGAAATAGCCTTTATATTTATATTTCAATATTATTTCAACATTAGTTCTAACAAAAGTTCTATAATTGCAAATGGCTTCAGTACTTGCACCCATATATCATTTTGAGAATTCATCTCCTACCCACATTATGCAAAGCAATGACAACATGACTGACCAGAAGGCAGAAAGGTAACATATGCCGTGTTAAGAGCAGTATACACTCTGTGCAATGTACAGAGCATTTCCTAAATTCTGTTGTAGGTCACAAAAATATCTAGGGTCATAAGAACAAGCTTGCATGAAAAAGCCATTAAAATACACAAACATAGTGTAAACAGTATTGATCTGAAGTCCAAGAGCTGATAAAAGCTCTGACACCAAATGTTCATCATAGGCCTTCTTAGTGTCAGCGGCCTTCTGAATGTGAAACTGTCAGAACACTTTTAGTGATAAAATGTTTCAACAGTCATACAGTATTAAAACAGAAAAGTGAAAAATCGACAGTATTCCCAACAGTATTTCCAAACAGTATTATTTCAATCATATGTCTATTCTTTAACATCTACAATGGATAGAAAATCATTGTCACCTAAAATACAGGATCACTAAATTAATATAAATTGCTAAACGTGTAGCAATGTTTTGATCTTCAATCATATAATTAAACGATCTGCTCAATATTGTTTTACATGGATATAGACAAGTTTAATAATGAACATCTAAGCACTTTGCAAATAAAGTAACTAGCGAAAGATACCAATCCCTAGCATATAGCAGGAAACCCAACTGGGTACCATTTGTAGTCAAGAGTTTCAATAAGCAGTGATTCTCTATTAAAAAATGTAGATTCCAAAGTGGTAGTTTTATTACAGGGATCATTCCTAATTTTCAGTCTTCCAATTTCTTTCTTGGATTTAGCAGTTTCAAGAGGATAAGGAAAATGTTATTTGAATATGAAATCTTGGTAATAACTCAATGGAAAGCCCTATTTTTCAAGATCTACAAAGTACTGATTGGATTAAATGTTCCACTTAATGTGAATTATAAATATGAATGGCATAAGGATTTAGGATATGCACTAAATGATGAGGAATTGGACTTTTATATATACAACATAGCTATCTTTTTCACTATGCTTAGGGAGACTTGTTTCAAAATGTAAATCATTGGTATTTATTGCTCTGGAGATTATAAAAAATGAAAAGGCAGATATCAAGAGAACATTGGTTCTGTACAGCAAACACATTAAATCTCTTTCACATGTGGTGGACCTGCTATTGGGAAAAATGTTTTTTGGAAGTGATACAAAATGTGGTAGAAGAAATATGGAAGAGATACCGTATTTTTCGCTCCATAAGACGCACCTGACCATAAGACGCACTGAGTTTTTAGAGGAGGAAAACAGGAAAAAGTGTCACTTCTGCTGCTGTTCAGTGGGGAGAGAAGCCTCGAGCCGGATCTCCCAGGCGGCAAAGCGAGAAGGGCCCCGCTGGCCACGATGCTTTGCAGCCTCCCAAGGACACACCAGAACTGTGTCAGAAGGCAACACCCACCGCTCTGGCTCCACCCCAAAAATCTCTAAGTATTTCCCAACTCAGAGCTGGCAAACCTACCTGGAGAAAAACTGCTTCAAAAGCACAAAGAAAATTTGTAGCAGGGGATCAGCTTTTGTGAGTCACTGCTCTCTTCTACAGATATTTCATAGCTGAAGAAGTGACCAGTGACCCAGTTATGAATAGAGGCTACAGTTCCCACATTTGCAGAAGTCTACAGATATGGGCAACATCCTCCTCCTGCATGTAATGGTTGATGACTCTGTTTCAATGTATCTGAAAATGAGTGCATGAACACAAAAGCTTAGACCCAGAATTAAACTTTGTTGGTCTTAGAGGTGCCACTGGACCCAAACTTTGCTCTATTGCTTCAGACCAACACGGCTACCCACCTGAATCTATGCAAACCAGAATGATTCAGAATGATTCAAGAGGGCTCTTCTACACAGGCAATAGGGTTACACTGTACAAAAGACTTCACAAAGTTACTTGAACAAATTATTAGGGTACACCCAACACCTCCTGTCCACACATGCTTAAGGTAGGATAGCAGCTCAATATTTCATTAGCAGTGGTACTTAAGAATATCTGTTCCAGTGCAACAGAACAAAGTTTGAGTTCAGTGGAAATAAGTTGACCAACAAAGTTTATACACATGAAAGCTAAGACCCAGAATTAAACTCTGTTGGTCTTAAAGGTGCCACTGGACTCAAGCTTTGTCTGGCACACTTTGTGTTTATTGACTGTTAACCTTTATTAAAGAAAGGGGAAGAAAAAATGGGAAGAAAGGGACAGAAAATGAAAGCCTCTGTGTATGTTTGCTTTCCCCAAGTTCTAAATTACCCCACCAGCAGTTAAAAAGGAGCTTGAAGACTTACATTTGAAACCACCCGTTCTCAGGTCCATTCAGCATATAAAAACGAAAGTGAAACAAGAGCTCCAAGAGGACCAAACTAAATCACACAGATATTAAGGGAAGAGCAGACTGTTCCATTACAAATAATTTTACCATCTGCTCCCACAGGCTTGGGGGGGGGGGAGAAGGCTGAAAGGGGCTTGGATCTCTTAGATCCAAGCCCTTTTCAGCCTTGTCCTGGGCTCCCACAGGCTGGGGGCGAGAGAAGGCTGAAAGGGGCTTGGATCTAAGAGATCCAAGCCCCGTTCAGCCTTGCCATCTGTTCCCGGGCTTGGGGGGAGGAGAGAAGGCTGAAAGGGGCTTGGATCTAAGAGATACAAGCCCCATTCAGCCTTCCAATGGGCTCCCGCGGGCTTGGGAGGGGGGGGAGAAGGCTGAACGGGGCTTGGAGATCCAAGCCCATTCAGCTTTGCCAGCGGCTCCTGCGGGCTTGGGAGAGGGGGAGAGAAGGCTAAACGGGGCTTGGAGATCCAAGCCCTGTTCAGCCTTGCCGGCTGCTCCCGCGGGCTTGGGAGGGGGGCCAGAAGGCTGAACGGGGCTTGGAGACCCATGACCTCTTTTTTTCAGTATTCACTCCATAAGACACACACACTTTCACCCCCACTTTTTGGGGGTGGAAAGTGCGTCTTATAGAGCAAAAAATACGGTAAATACCATTAAAACCAGAAATCTTTATTTTTTAAATTATGTAACAATTGTGCCAAAGATATTCTAAGATACAATCTTATAACAACTGCACACATGTGAGACACTGAAAAAACCAACTCTGTACTAATTAAAAGGAAATGGCTGTTAAAAATGATAAAACTAGTGGCACAACAACAGGGCAAAGTGATAAAAAATCTGGAATGAAATTGGACTTGATACCTTTAAATAGCTTTTTAGAGAAAGAAATTTAAGTTAGAGATGGTATCATTGTATTAAACCAAATGTAAAGTTGAATTTATATTTTGTTTGGAAAAAGTGGGTTTGGAAAATAAAAGAAAAAAAGGGGGAAGTTAGTGGAATGGATCTGGCCTTATAATGTTTTAACATCTAGAAATTCATTTACCCAGATGTGTGTTCATCATCTTGGCACAGTAATTGCACATGGCCTCCAATTCATTCAGTTGTCCTTGGAGAAATGAAATTTGGGCCTCCAGTTCTTCTTCCTGTAATTAAGAAGGAAATATTTAAAAGCCTTGCTAAACAATAATATAAAAACACTGACACACACACAAAAAAAACCTCACAAGGATTTATAACATTACTTTCCAGTTTTTCATTTGAAAAGCTAAAGACCTTCCACCAAATCTTTAAATTATTTCTCCCATTTTCATTGTGGCTGACAATGATCCACCAGATTCGTCAATGCAACACCATCCAAGATATCTGATACCATTAGTCTTAGGACAATTAAAGGACAATCCTAAACAGAGTTACACACTTCTAAGACCATTGACTTCAATGGACTTAGAAGGTGTAATTCTATTTAGGATGACATAGTTAATTTTCTCCAACTTCTTTCAGACATAGCTGTACCACTGACATATAAATTCTTTACCACTTTGTGTCAACTCTTCAGGATAATTCAAGTAGAACATTCTCTACACAATTTTTGTTTCACAGAACCCCTTTGACTGATAAAATACATCAGCTTTAGGGTTGCCAAGTCCTCACCTGTTGTATAGCGGGGGAGTCCAGCCTTCGTCTGGGAGTCCATGCGTGCGCGCAAAGCATGCGTGCGCCACAATTACGTCACCCGGAAGTGATGCAATCACGTCGGGCACGTTGGGGGCGGGGCCACAATCACCCGAGGGAAAAACATAGATTTTTCCCTCGGATGATTGTGGCCCCGCCCCCAACGTGCCCGAGGTGATCGCGTCACTTCTGGGTGACGTGCTGACGCCGGGCATGGCACGTGTTTTGGGGGTGGGGTTCCCCCAGGGCCCGATCCACCCCGGGGGGACTTGGCAAGCCTAATCAGTTTACAGAGATACTCACCTTAGAAATGTCTGCAGGGATTGCCCTATCAAAAGGCATAATGAAGCTGCCCATGTCAATAGTCAGACTTTAGGGTATTACTAGAGCATGGAAAACTGTCTGTTGTTGTTATGATTTTTTAAATCACGGGGCAGTGGTGAGGGAATGGGGGAATACCATTTGGATTTTCTGTTGCAGGCTATAAAATATCTTAATCCCTTTTTTGTGTCTGCATTCATTTCATATATTAGATTGTAAAGTCACCACATGTTTTGTGTCTACACCAGATATTATGACTCTATTCTTCATCTCTGCCAGATTATCTATCATCTGTGCTTTGTTACAATGTACAGATGGCTTTGATTGTAAAATGCGTTATATTTGGTATTCACGATTCAGTGGCATTAAATTAACTACAGCTTTCTTAGCTCTTGAGATGTCAGCTTACTAACTTACCCTACATACTTCTAATGCTTTTCCATTGGCCTCCCAACATTCTTTGTGTGGAAATAGGACAGTAGAGTATTTATAATGCTACACAGACACGTTTTGATGGTCAGATTTAAAAAAAATCAACTTTCATTTGGATTTGCATAGAATTCTAAATTTAGATGAGATCAAGCAAATGGAAAGATGATTCTAGTCTTTGGCCCTAGCCCAAAGAAACTTCAAGAAAATGTACAGGTAAAAATGGGAGTTTCCCAACAGAAGCTGCTCTGTGCTATACCAGAAGCTGTTTTTTATCCTGACCTGGATAACACAGGCTAACCCAATCTTGTCAGATCTTGGAAGCTAAGCAGGGTTGGTCCTGGCTAGTATTTGGATGGGCAACCTCCAAGGAATACCAGGGGCATTACACAGTAGCACACAATGGCAAACCACCCCTGAAAGGTCTCTTACCTTAAAAACAAGTCTAGCTCACCACCTAGTGGTGCATAATGTTAAAAGAGCTAGAACTTCTGGCTGCCAGACAATCTTAGGATTTCCTGGCTATACTATACACACTGCCATACGATGATGATGATGATAATAATAATAATTTGCTGTTTTTAAATGTCAGGGATATAAGAAACTGCTTTCAATGTGGCAAGGGGATCTACTATCTAGAAAACACTGTTAAAGCTGCTATTTCATTCTCCAAACCCGGTGACAGGGAGAACAGATTTAATAAAACTGTTCTGTCAATGTCTCAGTTGCCGCCTAGAAGTGATCCTTAATCTAGTTTTGCTACTAACTACCTCAACTGGTAGTAGTAGCTACAGCTAAAGATGCTTTGTGCTAGTTGTATTTTTTCTGTCCTGTAATCTCTCCTGGACAACTGGAATTTGGCAACGATCACTTGCCAAGGTAATTAACAGAATATGTGGTATGAATCTAGAAAAATATTTGTCAGTTAAGAACTGACAGGAAAGCTTTTGAAAATTATCAGCTTCTATAACTTGCAAGAAACAGAAGTATTAGCTGAAGAGGAATTCAGCATCTCTTGGCCAAAAGGCATTAGGCTTGAAAATAAAACTATTTGACAAAAACAATCTAACTGAATGGATGAAGAATAACTACAACAGTGCTACTTAGCACTGTATGTCTACCGTAGCTAGAAAGACTTGCTAGCAGTCATGAAAACACAAGGAAGCAAACCATCTTGAAACAGCTTAAGAAGGTGCAACTTCAACTATAAGATCTCTGCACTGAGGGGGGAAAGGGAGTCACAGCATCTGGGAAGCTCATTTACAGAATGTACCTCCCATGCATTTACAACTCTAGAAATCTCAGAAATCTTTAACCCCCAAATCAAATCCAAAAGTGGATTATGAGAAAGTAATAAATAACTCTAGGCCACCTCTTCCACAATGCAAGTTGAGAAGTATTTTAACAATTATTCCATATCATGCAATGTACCACTGGTCCCCTAATAATGTAAAACTTTGAAAATACATCCACTTGCTTACACAAGAATGGGTGGCATACATAACTATATTTATAGATTAAAAATACTGCTGGCATCACAGAATTTTTATGGAGCTATACATTTAGTTTATTCTCTTCAATTTATATCCTGCCCTCCCCGCACAGCAGACTCAGGACAGGTTCCAATCGGTGATAATCTGCTAAGTGCAGATTTCCAACAATAAGAACAAGATAACAGAATACATACTATAAATACAATAAAATAACTACAGCAATAAATACTTTAAAATAAATTATACCTCATCAGACACATGAGTGTGATTCATTGGGGGGAGGAGCGGGGAGGCCAGATTGAGTTGGATATTGGCTGCCTCAACTGAAGGCTGGCGGAAGAGCTCCATCTTGCAGGCCCTGCGGAACTGTAAAAGCTCTTGCAGGGCACTAATTTCTGACGGGAGCTCATTCCACCAGGTGGGGGCCAGGGCCAAAAAGGCCCTGGCCCTAGTTGAGGCAAATCGGCCATCCCTAGGGCCAGGGACCATCAGCAGATGTTGATTCATAGAGTGCAATGCCCTCCTGGGCTCCCATGGGGAAAAGATATAATTATGGCTATCATTCTATTTTCTGTAGTCTGAATCAGACCTAGGAACACAGTTCATTGGCATGTGCTGCATCTAAAAATATTTTAAATACAGTATGCTTTTTGTGGTTTAAAGTGCAGTATGGTTACACTCAGGTTGTTATAAACTTTCTGTTTCCAAACCTGGTTTTAGTGAGTTTTCCAAATCAAACAGAAGTCCAAGCAAGTGCTATAACACCTCATTCTGACAATTATATCCACAGACAAGGTTGGTTTCTGTCCTGCCTCTCAGAGTTGGCACAAATCTTGCACCTTCTCAAGCAAACAACATCTATATCAAAGATCCCCAACATGGTTCCTGTGGGCACCATGACACTCATCAACGCCTTTCCTGGCACCTGCCAAGTGTTTTTAGAAAGTGGGCAGGATGAGATGGGGCTTCTGCCCTGCAGGACTTCTGACTGGCCACTGGAGATCTTACTGACTGTATAGATTTTTTTTTAAAGTCTCTTTGGCAGCAGCTGCTACCACAATACAAAAATCCTCATTGTGTAACTGAAGATAAGCTGTGATCATGCAAGAAAATATTTTAAAACCATATCTTCATTATAAAGGGCATTCTGTTAAACAGAGTTTCTGCCTGAAATGTTGAAGAGTTACTAATAGAGTTATGCATAATCTTACTCCCTGACATTTTGTGGTTGGCTCCGCCTTCTGAAGCAGCCATTTTGTGGTTGTGCTCAGCACCCAGCGTCAGAATTCCAAATCGATGGTCCTCAAAAGGGTTGATGACCTCTGATTTATACACTAGGATGGGAGTGGTGTGTGTGTGTGTGTGTGTGTGTGCACATGAATGAATAACCCGTGGCTAGCAGTAATCGTGAGGCAGGCTGGCAATGTTCTGGTCCAAACAAGATGCACACAAACAAGGTATGAACTTCTTGCATCTTCTTATGGTCGTCCCTTAAATTTTAGTCCTGTGGCTCTGAAGTAAGAAACCCACCAAAGACTAGCAGATCCTGCTGGGGTTGGCTTTTCAAATTGTTCCCACCGTTCAAGATTTCTTGTACGCCCTAACTTGTTGCTGGACTGCCCCGTCAATAAAAAAAGTAGCTAAACCAGGGTTATGGTCACACGCATGAGATAACGCGGGGGGGGGGAAGCGAGGCTATTTGCTCCGTTGCAATTTGACCAACAGTTGCATGATCACACAGTCCCTGGGAGCTGCGGGGGCAGCCCACCACTGAATGATCAGATGCACCCGTGGGTGAATCTGTCCCCCCCCCTGTGTGTTTCCGGTGCACTTCAACAGGGGATCGATGAATCGCATTTCCACACTAAGTATTCCCTATGCCGTGTGCAATGATGTGCACTCTGAAATGGGGGGAAAAACAACGGCATGGAGTCGGGATGGCCCGATCAGACCATCCTGATGCCATGAGAGCACACTGGCATGACCACACAGGGCAAAGTCCATTCCTGGCCTGTAGCAAACCATTTGCTACTGGATTTTCCCTAGTGTTTTTTTACTCCGCTTCTTTGGCGGAGTGAAACGGCCAGATGTTCCTATCGCGCGGCTAATTCTGCGTGTGATTGGGACCCAGGTATGACAAACAAGTCCAGTTCTGCTTTCCCCAAAGGCAGCCAATGGGAGCTGACTCAGTTGGGGAAGTTGGGCAGCTAAAGACAGGGAGAGTTAAA